GACTGATGGATCCCCCACTCCACCCCCCACCCTCACACAATGTAGTATCAGAAATTCACAGACTGTACACACTGTGGCTGTACTATTCAACTGAAATATACATATGACTAATGTTTATTGGTAACCAGCCTGCGAAGTGAGTACAAAACTGGTTGGCAGAATATCTACTTGTATTCAATATTTATGTAAGGTTTGATGATGTTGTATCAAACAGTTTTATGATCTTTATGGTGGCTTATAGATTTGAAGAAAATGCCTGCATCAAATTTTGTGCGAGGCTCTACAAAGCTACCAAGGCCCTAAAACGTTTCTGTCACTTTCCCACTGCTGTAACGTAGTTTGCCTGTGCCTTTTCTTTCTTTTTTTCTTTTTTTTATATAAATCCTTTCATGGTAATTGTTCTGATGAACATTCTGCTTTGGTACTGTGACTTCATGAATTTAAGTCTCTCATCATTTTATGGTTGAAATGGCTGCTAGATGTAACCATAAATTCTATAATAACAGTTTCTCTTCTCTCACACTTCTCACTTGTGATACTCTCTTCTAACCTCTTGCTTTTCATTTTAATGCAATGTCAATTATTATTTTCTGTCTGAATTCTTCTTCATTTATTGTTCTCTCTCCTTCATAATGTTGTTCTTTTTCTCATATTTTTTCACACTCAATAACCCTTGCATCTTAGGGGCTTTATTGCCTTGCTTGGGGTGGAATGTTTAAAAAAATATATATTTATATATTTATATTTACACACTGGTCGCTTCATGGTGGTTGCATGAAACTCATGTAGTCTGAACTTTATTTCTTTTTGAGTTGTCACTGGGTAGCATAATTGTTCTATCTTACTCATTTAGACATTGAACACATTCTTTTACTGTTTAGGTCAGTATCAGTCTTTGTTTTGTCTTCTTTTGGTTTGTTTCCTTCTTTTATTTTGATTTATTGGTTTGAGTTTTCTTTTTATATTCTTTGGTCACTTAGCAGGCTTTGTGTTATTTTTACCAAACTTTTGTTTCATATATATATTATATATTGTTTTATATATATTACCAAATTATTATATGTTGTTATATATAATATATATATACAGATAGATAGATATAGATAGATATATATTACCAAACTTTTGTTATATATAGTAGAATCGATGAGCTGAGTTTAAATTCCAGTTGATTCTGTTTTAGTTCACTTCACACTAATATGTTTGGCATGAAGCAATCTTCCTCCAGTTAAAGGTTAAATAGTAGGGTAGACTAAGATTTCTAGTCTTACTTGACAGCAAGTCTAGGAGAAGGAAAACTCTGAATTCAAACCTGAGAAAGCCAGGAAATTTTGTGGCCCATGGCACCATTTCTGTTGCCAGTTCTTCCAAAATGTGTGGCTGGTTCAACATCAGCCTGTAGCAATAGAATCAAAAGATATATGTTCTAAAAAGATTGAACTTTTCAGCCCTCACCAAGTATCTGTGATGTAGCCTTTAAAAGAAAACCGAGGTCTATGATAGATGTGATGTTTTGAAGTATAGGCTCCAACTGGCAAAGCAACTTACATTTCATGTCACTCCAGGTTTATCAGGTGAAGCAGGTCTTACCCTTGGACATGTGCTTAAATTATTACTGTTAATGACAGACAACCAATTTTTGTAATTCTACAGAGTATCATCCAGTACTTTTAACCCAATTTAAAAAGATCTATAATTTTGCCACTTATAATGTGAGCCCAAAACATTACTTCTCATAACTTCTATTGTCTTCTAAATCATGTTGGTTGACTATGTCCATAAAAGACGCAACCTCTAGCCCAGGTCCATCCGACATAGCTCTATATTCATCATTAAAAATTACTGTTGAGAAATCAGATTTTACAAACTTCTTCACCTAATTTGTATATTTCTCTTTGTGATGTTTATTGAAATATGGCAGTTTTGTTTCTTTTATATCTTTAGCCCAATAATTCCCAACATGGGGTGCCTGCCCCACCAGTGAGGCATGGTAGTATTAATGGGTGTGGACAATAAAAGAACAAGAATTAACCCATTAACTGCCAAATTTTTTAATGCGCATTTTTGGCCCAGACAGGTGTCTTAGGAGTTTATTTATTCCTTATGTTTAATTTCAGTAGTTACCATTGTCATTTTTATAGAAACTAGAACATCAAATATATATGTGTATAAAACATCAAAAAAAAATATTGATTAGAAATAATAAAAAAAAAAATACTTTTCAAAATAGTCATCATTTTTCTACTCGTGAAATGTAAAATTACGACCAGAAAGTGTCTTCTTACGGCTAATAATAAAAATTTTAAAGGCTAAGTGTTGTAAAATATACCTCTGCAAATGCAATGTATGTAAGCAATTCAATGTAAATACAAGGAATAACATGTAGTGAGTTTAATTTTAACAGATCCCCAAATGGGGCTCGTGGAAGGTAATGGGTCAAAGAGACTCAGTGAATTTATATCTATTATAATGAGCACTTGAAACTTATAAGTAGACATTTGCCTTTGATCATGTGTATCTCTGATATAACAAAATTGAATATGCAGTAATATTGTTTCCCAATAAATGCTATGACACTTCCAGATGAAATACAGAGTAAATTTGGAGAAAGACTAAAGTCAGGCAGTATGCATAGTGTTTAGCAGTTGTTAGCAGCTACTGATGATTCACTTAAGGATGACTTCAATTAAACTATTTTAAAAATGCTAACATGATATTTTATGTTATTACTACTTATTTATATATTAATTTAATAAAATTGATTCATATATAAGACTATAATGTTATTAGCTTACTCCAGCTTATTTTTCATGACATGACACTACTGACGATGATTGTTCATTTGATTTTTGAACATGTAGAATAAGATAATTATAATTGTTTTCTGTAAAGAAGTGGAGAGTGAAAATGTCTTTGAAAAAAATGTCCCGATTTGATTAATTGTTGGGTTTGTAAAATTCATCTGCTCCTATATATATATGGAGATTCATCACATGATGTTAGGTGGTCTCTCATTGATTAATAAAACCATGGGGGTTTCACAAAAAAGCTGACCACCACCAGAGAAGGGACTGGACCTGCTCTGAAGTAACACAGGAGAAATTCTCTCTGCTGCCAGTTGCCAAGGGTTTTAAGGGTACAAACTATCTAGCCCTATTTCACTCCACCAGATGGGTAAGTCCATGGTACCAGGTGCTGAGGATTTTAAAGGTACAAATTACCTAGGCCTATTTTATTCACCAGATAGGTAAGGCCATGGTACTAATTACCAAGGGTTTTAAAGGTACAAGTTATCTATTCCTATTTCACTTCCCCAAATGGTTAACTCCACCTGATATATTCTCCATATATAGAAAAGGACATTGTGTTTATATTTTAACTGTTGTATTCATGTTTAGATGTAAATAAATATCTTTATTATACAGATAAAGTATTCTTCTCATTTTTGTGAGTCCCAAAGTAAAGTGGGGCTAGCCCAATAAAGGGATTATTATTCTTCAGAATGACAAGTCTCCACTCAGTTAATCAGACCATTAGGTTGGAATATTTTACCACTTCCTTCAAACCCATTTAATTCCTTCAGCTTTCTCTTTATTTGAGTCATTAAAATTATTTTTCAAGTGGCAAAATTCTTAAAATTCAGAAAGAGTTCAACACAATCAGGATTCTTTACATCATGATTAGTTCAACAAGAAACAAAAGTATTAGTTTACTATTTGTTTCATCATCATCATCATCATCATCATTTGTCTCATGACTAGGTGTGGTCATAGAATCAATGTACAGCTGAGCACCTGACCAATTCTCTCTACTCATCTTAGTTGAAAACCAAAGAGGTATTCATGTATAATATTACTTGGGTAGGTACACCTGGTAAAGTTCATCCCTTTCCAGATCTAACCATAGATGTCTTCCAAAAAGGCATGCTTTCGTCATGAACATATGGCCATTGATTTCTCTTCCTTGGCTATTAAGACCCTCCACCCAGCAACACAGTGTCGTCACTGCACTGTCTACATCCATAGCTATGGAGCCCAGTCTTCTCCTTTGTGCTAGATGGCCACTGACTCTACAAGAAGGTTTATTCACCCCTTTGACAGGTTTTGTTTTTCATTCTGCTGAGTGCCTAATCACACTCCTCAACAGAAAAGCCTGATGGGGGAATTTGTTTATGATCTTGTTCTTGACAAAGAAACTTCTTTAAGTGCTCAATGTAGATCGATAAGTAAAAACTTTCAAAGTTAGTAAGGGATCAGTTTAGTATTATCAAAATTATTTTCAGACAAAATTTCAAATTTATTTATTTAAACAAAAATTGCTTTCTTTTCAAGCTGTTCTCATTACAAATAATAATTTCATTTTTGATTAATAAATTTTACTTTTATATTAAAATAGAGCTTAATTATGTTGTCAAAATCTTTATATTATTAAACACTACATTGCAACCAACTTAATATTTCATCACTTCCCGTAAACCTATATTTAAGGAATGTGTGTTTAGATTTTGTTAGACATCCTTTGTACTAGTAAACTAGTCGTGTATCAAAATCCAGACCCTAATAAACTACAGTTAGAAATCTTATGTTCATCTGTGGAGGTTAGGGAAGGTTACCAAATTTTTCTAATTGCTGTGTCCTTCACAAAATTGTCACATTCAACTGAATTCTGATGTTCCTTAACATGCAGTATTTACTCTGTCCCCCCCACTAGGATGAGACATGACACAAGGTCTATTTTCAGGTGGGGACCCGAGCACATACACCCGGGACAGGAATAAAAATTCCTCTCAGACCCCGCAACCGTTGGTTGCGCTGGCATCAGTGTGGGCACCAATCCCTCTCTCTGGTGCAATGGGAGGGCACAGCCTCAGGCAGCTGTTCCCCAGGGCTGGGCACCTCTCCAGTATTATTTTCCTCAGTTGCCCCTCTGTCCTTTGAGAGAGAAGCCCTCAGAGATAAGTAGACGCCAAATTACTTCAAAAGAGTAAGGTGCCTCTTAACATGCTACTGACAGAAGTTTTGGGTTTTGTGTACAAAATGAATTGCTTTTTTGATGCTTACTAAGTTTAGCTAAGTATGACATAAGGCCAGAGGGAGAAGAGTGTTCTAGGCTTTCAAGTAGGGAAAAGATTGTCAATCTAAAAAAAAGTTTTAATACACGTAAAAAATATTTGGCAATTTCAACCACAAAGGAGGCCATAATAACCTTTTGTCTTTGTTAAATCTGAGATAGATCTAAATGGACAGAGACTGAGATCGATAGATCTAAACAGACTGAGATAGATAGATCGATCGATCTAAACGGACTGAGATAGATAGATCGATCTAAACGGACTGAGATAGATAGATCGATCGATCTAAACGGACTGAGATAGATAGATCGATCGATCTAAACGGACTGAGATAGATAGATCGATCGATCTAAACGGACTGAGATAGATAGATCGATCGATCGATCTAAATGGACTGAGATAGATCGTGTGTGTAAAATAATAAAGATGGTTTTACAAAAAACAGTCTTTGAGCAGTGTTGTTTCTGATGGATAACATTTTTAAGGTATGCAGACTTTGTAATTGAAGTGGTCATTATCAAGAGAGCACATTAACAGCAACAAATTAAATTGAATGTTCAATTTATCTTTCTGATACAGACTTTCAGAGGCACACTATCCCCTTGGAAGTAGATTTGATAGTAAAGTTGAATTTATTGGCAGAAATTCAATTTCTTAAAAGACATTGCTTAATATATATTACAGAATGAGTATATATATGATAATAATTATATAATATATGATATAATTCAATTTAATTTGTTGCTGTTAATGCGCTCTCTTGATAATGACCATTTCACTTACAAAGTCTGCATACCTTGAAAATGTTATCCACCAAAAATGGCACTGCTCAAAGATTTTTTTTTTTTGCAAAACCATCTTTATTATTTTACACACAGATGATCTATCTATCTCTGCCCATATAGATCTATCTATATGGACAGAGACTGAGATAGATAGATAGATCGATCTATCTATCTATCTATCTCAGTCTCTGTCCATATAGATCGATCTATCTATCTATCTCAGTCTCTGTCCATATAGATCGATCTATCTATCTATCTATCTCAGTCTCTGTCCATATAGATCGATCTATCTATCTATCTCAGTCTCTGTCCATATAGATCGATCTATCTCAGTCTCTGTCCATATAGGTCTATCTATCTCATTCTCTGTCCATATAGGTCTATCTATCTATCTCATTCTCTGTCCATATAGGTCTATCTATCTATCTCAGTCTCTGTCCATATAGGTCTATCTATCTATCTCAGTCTCTGTCCATTTAGGTCTATCTATCTATCTCAGTCTCTGTCCATTTAGATCTATCTATCTATCTATCTATCTCAGTCTCTGTCCATTTAGGTCTATCTATCTATCTATCTCAGTCTCTGTCCATATAGGTCTATCTATCTATCTCAGTCTCTGTCCATTTAGGTCTATCTATCTATCTATCTCAGTCTCTGTCCATATAGGTCTATCTATCTATCTCAGTCTCTGTCCATTTAGGTCTATCTATCTATCTATCTCAGTCTCTGTCCATTTAGGTCTATCTATCTATCTCAGTCTCTGTCCATTTAGATCTATCTATCTATCTCAGTCTCTGTCCATTTAGATCTATCTATCTATCTCAGTCTCTGTCCATTTAGATCTATCTATCTATCTCAGTCTCTGTCCATTTAGGGTCTATCTATCTATCTATCTATCTCAGTCTCTGTCCATTTAGATCTATCTATCTATCTCAGTCTCTGTCCATTTAGATCTATCTATCTATCTCAGTCTCTGTCCATTTAGATCTATCTATCTATCTCAGTCTCTGTCCATTTAGATCTATCTATCTATCTCAGTCTCTGTCCATTTAGGTCTATCTATCTATCTATCTATCTCAGTCTCTGTCCATTTAGGTCTATCTATCTATCTCAGTCTCTGTCCATTTAGGTCTATCTATCTCAGTCTCTGTCCATTTAGGTCTATCTATCTCAGTCTCTGTCCATTTAGGTCTATCTATCTATCTATCTCAGTCTCTGTCCATTTAGGTCTATCTATCTATCTATCTATCTCAGTCTCTGTCCATTTAGGTCTATCTATCTATCTATCTCAGTCTCTGTCCATTTAGATCTATCTATCTACTGTTCATTTCGAACTATCTATCTATCTCACTCTCTGTCCATTTAGATCTATCTATCTACTTCATTCATTTATCTATCTATCTATCTCTCTGTCCATTTAGATCTATCTATCTATCTATCTATCTCATCTCTGTCCATTTAGATCTATCTATCTATCTCACTCTCTGTCCATTTAGATCTATCTATCTATCTCATCTCTGTCCATTTAGATCTATCTATCTATCTCAGTCTCTGTCCATTTAGGTCTATCTATCTATCTATCTATCTATCTACTGTTCATTTAGATCTATCTATCTATCTCACTCTCTGTCCATTTAGATCTATCTATCTATCTCAGTCTCTGTCCATTTAGGTCTATCTATCTATCTATCTATCTATCTCAGTCTCTGTCCATTTAGATCTATCTATCAACTGTTCATTTAGATCTATCTATCTATCTCACTCTCTGTCCATTTAGATCTATCTATCTATCTCAGTCTCTGTCCATTTAGGTCTATCTATCTATCTATCTATCTCAGTCTCTGTCCATTTAGATCTATCTATCTACTGTTCATTTAGATCTATCTATCTATCTCACTCTCTGTCCATTTAGATCTATCTATCTATCTATCTATCTATCTCACTCTCTGTCCATTTAGATCTATCTATCTATCTATCTATCTCACTCTCTGTCCATTTAGATCTATCTATCTATCTCAGTCTCTGTCCATATAGGTCTATCTATCTATCTCAGTCTCTGTCCATATAGGTCTATCTATCTATCTCATTCTCTGTCCATATAGGTCTATCTATCTATCAGTCTCTGTCCATTTAGATCTATCTATCTATCTCATTCTCTGTCTATATAGGTCTATCTATCTATCTCATTCTCTGTCTATATAGGTCTATCTATCTATCTCATTCTCTGTCTATATAGGTCTATCTATCTATCTCATTCTCTGTCCATTTAGGTCTATCTATCTATCTCAGTCTCTGTCCATTTAGGTCTATCTATCTATCTCAGTCTCTGTCCATTTAGGTCTATCTATCTCAGTCTCTGTCCATTTAGGTCTATCTATCTCAGTCTCTGTCCATTTAGGTCTATCTATCTCAGTCTCTGTCCATTTAGGTCTATCTATCTATCTATCTCAGTCTCTGTCCATTTAGGTCTATCTATCTATCTCAGTCTCTGTCCATTTAGGTCTATCTATCTATCTATCTCAGTCTCTGTCCATTTAGGTCTATCTATCTATCTATCTATCTCAGTCTCTGTCCATTTAGGTCTATCTATCTATCTATCTCAGTCTCTGTCTATTTAGGTCTATCTATCTATCTCAGTCTCTGTCCATTTAGGTCTATCTATCTATCTATCTCAGTCTCTGTCCATTTAGGTCTATCTATCTATCTATCTCAGTCTCTGTCCATTTAGGTCTATCTATCTATCTATCTCAGTCTCTGTCCATTTAGATCTATCTATCTATCTATCTCAGTCTCTGTCCATTTAGGTCTATCTATCTATCTATCTATCTCAGTCTCTGTCCATTTAGGTCTATCTATCTATCTATCTATCTCAGTCTCTGTCCATTTAGGTCTATCTATCTATCTATCTCAGTCTCTGTCCATTTAGGTCTATCTATCTATCTATCTATCTCAGTCTCTGTCCATTTAGGTCTATCTATCTATCTATCTATCTCAGTCTCTGTCCATTTAGGTCTATCTATCTATCTATCTATCTCAGTCTCTGTCCATTTAGGTCTATCTATCTATCTATCTATCTATCTCAGTCTCTGTCCATTTAGATCTATCTATCTACTGTTCATTTAGATCTATCTATCTATCTCACTCTCTGTCCATTTAGATCTATCTATCTATCTCAGTCTCTGTCCATTTAGGTCTATCTATCTATCTATCTATCTATCTCAGTCTCTGTCCATTTAGATCTATCTATCTACTGTTCATTTAGATCTATCTATCTATCTCACTCTCTGTCCATTTAGATCTATCTATCTATCTCACTTTCTGTCCATTTAGATCTATCTATCTATCTATCTATCTCACTCTCTGTCCATTTAGATCTATCTATCTATCTATCTATCTCACTCTCTGTCCATTTAGATCTATCTATCTATCTCAGTCTCTGTCCATATAGGTCTATCTATCTATCTCAGTCTCTGTCCATATAGGTCTATCTATCTATCTCATTCTCTGTCCATATAGGTCTATCTATCTATCTCAGTCTCTGTCCATTTAGATCTATCTATCTATCTCATTCTCTGTCCATATAGGTCTATCTATCTATCTCATTCTCTGTCCATATAGGTCTATCTATCTATCTCAGTCTCTGTCCATTTAGGTCTATCTATCTATCTCAGTCTCTGTCCATTTAGGTCTATCTATCTCAGTCTCTGTCCATTTAGGTCTATCTATCTATCTATCTATCTCAGTCTCTGTCCATTAGGTCTATCTATCTATCTCAGTCTCTGTCCATTTAGGTCTATCTATCTATCTATCTCAGTCTCTGTCCATTTAGGTCTATCTATCTATCTATCTATCTCAGTCTCTGTCCATTTAGGTCTATCTATCTATCTATCTATCTCAGTCTCTGTCCATTTAGGTCTATCTATCTATCTCAGTCTCTGTCTATTTAGGTCTATCTATCTATCTCAGTCTCTGTCCATTTAGGTCTATCTATCTATCTCTCAGTCTCTGTCCATTTAGGTCTATCTATCTATCTATCTCAGTCTCTGTCCATTTAGGTCTATCTATCTATCTATCTCAGTCTCTGTCCATTTAGGTCTATCTATCTATCTATCTCAGTCTCTGTCCATTTAGGTCTATCTATCTATCTATCTATCTCAGTCTCTGTCCATTTAGGTCTATCTATCTATCTATCTCAGTCTCTGTCCATTTAGGTCTATCTATCTATCTATCTATCTCAGTCTCTGTCCATTTAGGTCTATCTATCTATCTATCTATCTATCTCAGTCTCTGTCCATTTAGATCTATCTATCTATCTCAGTCTCTGTCCATTTAGGTCTATCTATCTATCTATCTATCTCAGTCTCTGTCCATTTAGATCTATCTATCTACTGTTCATTTAGATCTATCTATCTATCTCACTCTCTGTCCATTTAGATCTATCTATCTATCTCAGTCTCTGTCCATTTAGGTCTATCTATCTATCTATCTATCTCAGTCTCTGTCCATTTAGATCTATCTATCTACTGTTCATTTAGATCTATCTATCTATCTCACTCTCTGTCCATTTAGATCTATCTATCTATCTATCTATCTCACTCTCTGTCCATTTAGATCTATCTATCTATCTATCTATCTCACTCTCTGTCCATTTAGATCTATCTATCTATCTATCTCAGTCTCTGTCCATTTAGATCTATCTATCTATCTATCTCAGTCTCTGTCCATTTAGATCTATCTATCTATCTATCTCACTCTCTGTCCATTTAGATCTATCTATCTATCTATCTATCTATCTGTCCATTTAGATCTATCTATCTCAGTCTCTGTCCATTTAGATCTATCTGTCTATCTATCTATCTATCTATCTATCTATCTATCTATCTATCTATCTCTGTCCATTTAGATCTATCTATCTATCTCTGTCCATTTATATCTATCTATCTATCTATCTATCTATCTATCTCTGTCCATTTAGATCTATCTATCTATCTCTGTCCATTTAGATCTATCTATCTATCTCTGTCCATTTATATCTATCTATCTATCTATCTATCTATCTATCTATCTCTGTCCATTTAGATCTATCTATCTATCTCTGTCCATTTAGATCTATCTATCTATCTATCTCTGTCCATTTAGATCTATCTATCTATCTATCTATCTATCTCTGTCCATTTAGATCTATCTATCTATCTCTGTCCATTTAGATCTATCTATCTATCTATCTATCTATCTCTGTCCATTTAGATCTATCTATCTATCTCTGTCCATTTATATCTATCTATCTATCTATCTATCTATCTATCTCTGTCCATTTAGATCTATCTATCTATCTCTGTCCATTTAGATCTATCTATCTATCTATCTATCTATCTATCTCTGTCCATTTAGATCTATCTATCTATCTCTGTCCATTTAGATCTATCTATCTATCTCTGTCCATTTAGATCTATCTATCTATCTATCTATCTATCTATCTATCTATCTCTGTCCATTTAGATCTATCTATCTATCTCTGTCCATTTAGATCTATCTATCTATCTATCTATCTATCTCTGTCCATTTAGATCTATCTATCTATCTATCTATCTCTGTCCATTTAGATCTATCTATCTATCTATCTATCTATCTCTGTCCATTTATATCTATCTATCTATCTATCTATCTATCTATCTAAGTATGCACATATCTATCTTTATGTTTATAGATTTCCTATAAGCAAATTTATAGAATAAGACAGTATAAATGTTTGCATTTCTGCATACTTGTAAATTCTTAAATTATATGTTTATTCTTGCACATACACACACACACACATACACACATATATATATATATATATATAACAATCAATTCCCAAGTGCATGTGGCCACTCACGAGGTGGTATAATAAAATTTGTTCTTTAAGTAAATATATGTGCATATTACAAGAGATGATTGTTTTTTCTTTTTTTTTCTCCCTCTTCTTTGTACACGCGGCTATTATTTTAGTGTATTTCTCTCTTGGTATTCTAAATATTTTCTTAAAACAAAAATATCTCTTCACTGATATAACTGCTTTACCTATGATAAATTGTAAAAACGACAATTTGGGATGGGCTTTTTATTTACTAAAGGTTTTTTTTTTTCTTCAAAACACACATTCTGTAGTTAGTCATGCATAGCACACACACACATACAAGCTTGTCCATATCTGCTCACACATGTATAATTTTATAGACACCCACTCACGGGAATAACAAAAGAATCAATGCTTTAGAACAGAAAGAGTTCTGACATCAGTACAAATCAATATTTCCAAGGCTCCACCGCTAGTAACTGTTCAGTTTGTCACTCCTTCTATTACTGGTAGTTGCTTCCTACAACAGTGGATCACCCCCAACACAAAGGTAGGCAAGATTATTTATTTAAAATGGCTTAAACTCAAGTGATATTTTGAACTTAAAAATATTTTTTCTTTAGTCATTTAAGCTTGATTTTAAAAATCTGGTCCAAATTACATCTTGTCAAACAATCAATAGAAGTGTTGCTTTTACATTAATTATTGTATTTGAGCCTTTAATAAGCTGACCATTATGGACTGGAATTTATCATTTTTATATAGACAATTGTTCATGATAACATGATATGTAATTTTATTTTAATGGACAGCATTGAATTAATTCCAAGTATTACAGACTTTACATTTATTTCTCTGTCTTGGATATTTTTATCGAAGAAGCCTGTGAATTTGACGTATATTGTTGGTCATTGGATATTTTCTGTAGCAGCCTTGATCATTGGCTTAAAGTATTTCTTAGAAAATTTGGGGACTTTGTTTTCCTGACCAGTGCTTTAACAATTAAGCTTATTAGATTAACTGTATTTATATGGAATTATCTGATTGTGGATTATTGCCCTTGGCTTATTTGGATTTCTTTAAAGCTTTAATAGAAAGAAATTTGAATTGAAGTTCTAAAACCATTACATGATGATGATGATAATAATAATCAATTTGTGGCAATATGACTTGATTTTTTTCTTTCCTTTTTTTTTTTTTTTTTTTTTTAAATGTCGTGTCTCTTCAAGATGTTGGTGAACTTTGCTCTCTATAAACCACTTTTTTTTTCTATTATCTTTGAAGTGTTATGCCTATGCCTTCTTCAGTAATAATATAGTAGTTTCTTGTTACTTCTCCACGTGATTTGATTAATGAAAATAAAATTAAAATATTTGTCAGTTTTTCTCCTTTCAGTTTTTTCAGTTTTTTTCTTGTTTTAAAATTTATTAAAAAAAAAAAATTCCTAAAAAAAAAATAAATTAACATTTTATATCAAATAATGAGAAAATGGAGGTGGTGGTGTTCCTTGGTATTTTTTAATAAATTAATTTGTGCTTGCCTTGTCATGTGTCCCATTCTAAAAAGTGTCTTTAAGACAAATTTCGTGGAAAAAAAAAAAATGTTCTCAATGTATAGAATTTTTTTTTTTTTACTTTTAATTTTAAGTATCCAAATTCTTGTGTTGTGAAGCATACACATGCAAATCATTATAAACATATCTTCTTATCTATTTATATTGGAATATATTGTGCAAAGATAATTTCAAATTAATAATATATAAAGGACACACACACGCGCGCGCGCACACAAATTTAGTGTATTGGGGCAGGAGATCATTATTCAAACATTTATTCTTAAATATAACAGATAACAAATGTCTTATGTCTGATCATGAGCCGTTCTAAACTTAGTATGGTTGCTTTAATTTCAGGTGAAAATAAAGACAAAAATTGTCCAACATTTGGATATTTTTTTATTATGCTGTTCCTTGATCTAAGCTTTTGGCTCACATGAGCCATCATTAGAGTGATGGACATTTAAACAAAGATATTCACCATCAAAGATGATATCCTGTTATGTTTACATAGAAGGTTGCTATGCGACAATAACGGTTGTGGAATAACAGATGCAAAACATAAATTCATGATGTAGAACAAAAATTGTCTTTATTTTCTCTTGAAATTAAAGCAACCATACAAAGTTTAAAACAGCCCATGCTCAAACATAGACATCTGTTGTCTGTTATATTTAACAATATATGTTTGAATAATATATATATATATATTGTATCCTTTAAGAGGTCACAAAATGACAAAGGTGGTACTCGAGCGAAAAAACAGCAACACAGGAGTAGATGAAAGAAAGAGGCATTTATTGTAAAAGAGAATACACTAGTAAAAGACAGGGAATTTGGTAGCAGGCTAGTAATTCCCGAAGCAAAGATATTTGCCAACTGCTCCATGCAGTCAGATATGGTACAAGGCCAAATTTAACGTGGGGTATCCGAGCCCATATGCTTGGGCAAAAATTCCCCGTAGACCCCGTAAAAAAAAAAAAAGGGGGTCTACCACCCCAGACGAGACTCTGCCCTTCAGCATAGCTTCGTCTGGGTTCCTCTCTGCCGGAAGACAGTTCAACCAGCTCAGCTGGAGATGAATCTCTAACTAATTCCTGAAGCAAAGATATTTGCCAACCACCCCACGTGGTCAGATATGGCACAAGGCCGAATTTAACGTGGTGTATCTGAGCCCATAAGCTTTGGCAAAAATTCCCCGTACACCCCGTATACATGGGGTCGGGTAGCTGTCTACCACCCCAGATGAAACTCTGCCCTTAGGCATAGCCTCATCTGGGTTCCTATCTGCCCGAAGGCAGAGAGTTCGACTAACACAGCTGGAGATGAATCTCCAACTAATTGCCGAAGCAAAGCCCCAGGTATATTCTGGGCTCACTATATATAGCTACTGATATAGTCAGTCCACATAGGCAATAGAGAGTGTGGGACATTCCATTACAACACACACACACACACACATATATATATATATATATATATATATATATATATATATTTTATTGTTACATTAAAACTACTTTAACTGCATCATTAAAAAAAGGAAAATTTACAATTGCAAATTTTTCTACATGAGTAATCAAAGATTTGCCATCCTATGTAAAAAAAAAAAAAAAAAGTATTCTGCTTTTTAAATCCTTACCTAAAGCTAATAGAAGTAGATAGGTTTGCCCATTGTTCAGTTAACACACCTCCCCAGTATTTTGAACAGGAATGGAGGTTTACCCACTTCTTTCCTGTTTAGAATTGGGTTTCTTATTTCTTCTAATGTCTTTTTCATTCTTTTTAATTCCTAATAGCTTCTTGCATCTTAGTGGCATTTGTTGTGAGTTAAGAAGAAAACGTTTAGCTTTATTCAATATGGAACATTGCTAGGTTGTTAACGGAATTCTTCTATGATAAAGACTACAGCTTTTATAGATTGCATTAGTAGTAATGGCAGTGCAAGTAGAATAGTAGTTACCATGACATTCTCCCCCACCGACTAACAACAGTGCTTAGTGTTAAGATTAGGTTAAATTGTTTTATTCAAAATAATCTTGTAAGTACTGGGGTCTTCATTTAATACCCATAGAACAGCGTATGACTGGAGAAGAAGGCTGGGTTATATTCTTCACTTTGTTCAGGTAAAGGGTTTTCTTGAACTTCAAGTATTTCCACTATTGGATGCAATCCAGTCAATGTCAGCATTGTGCTTGTCTTGCACAGGCACCAGGTTGAAGTCATTGGTAGAACTTTGATCTATTAACCTGTCACCTTGGAGGGCCAAGTCTCTTAGTGTAACTGTAGTTTCTCATCCATTTTGTAGGAATACATGTGCATAATTAGGGTTAGCCTCAAGTAGCTGAACTTCATCTACTAGTGGTTACTTTAGTTCAACACACTTACTCAGGGCTAAATTAGGTGCTAAAAGGAACATGCCTGTTTAAATTCTATCTCCAGGTGTAAGGTTTTGTTCTCTAATAGATGTTGGCAAATGTAGCTGGAATATATCACATTGATAAAGGTATCTCTAAGGTGTTCATTTTGCACTCCTTGGCATTATCTAGACAGAAAATTCCACCAAAAGCCTTAGCTTTTTGAGGTACTGATCCAGGCTTTCGTTTGGATCTTGTTTGTCATTGGAGAGTAAATGTTGTGCAATTACCTCATTCTTAGGATTAATGTAGAGTTTTCTGAGCATTTCCACAGCTGTCTCGTGAGAGGTTGATTCTTTAACATGTTTGTAAATCGCTGGGGGTAGAAAGTTAGTAAGTACATGTAATCTGGTTGTATCTTCAGATAACATCAATCAAGTTACTGAAAGTTTTAAACTAATGGTACTGTTGGTTTGCAGTGTCACTCACATTAGAGTCCATCTTGAAATGACAGGATTTCAGATATCTTTCCATAGTTTATGTTGAATAAATTGTTGTGAGGTAAGAAGAAAGTGTTTAGATTTATTCAATATAGAAGGTTGCTAGGTTGTTAATGGAACTCTTCTACGATAAAGACTACGGCTTTTATAGGTTGTGTTAGGAGTAGTATCAGTAAGCGGAGATGGTTCTGAGTGTCGAATAGTAGGCATCATGACAGTATTATTGCGTTGCTTGAAGTGAATTGATTAAAAAAAAATTCCAACACAAAAATAGATAAGACGACATGAATTAATCTGGTTATCCCATTTTAGTAATAAAATATTTTGTAGTTAGGGCAATGAGACATGTTGGCAGAGTAATGCTTCCTGTTACCATAACAACTGAATATATCATTATGAAGTAGGGGGAAACTTAGATTGTGTGAGTGATTAAATATATGAAGTCATATTGTGTGTTTTGTTGTACA